TGGTTATACCGACATCTGGATATAACGACATCATAGTAAAATCTTTCTATACCGACATTTTTTTTCAAAAATTTAATGTAAATGTCGGTATAACTCACTGTACCGACATTTTGAATTTTTTTACTAATGTCTCAAAAATGTCGATATAACAAGAGTGACGTGTACAGTACGCAATGGTTAACAGCTAATTCAACTTCATAAATTATATACTTTGACATCTTAAGATTAGTCGATGTACAAAAATAAAAAAAAACATAAAATCCTAATATTAAGATGTCCAAGTATAAGACTGTGAACATACCCTCAAATCACGTATATTGTCAAGTAAATATTCTTCTCGTCATAAAAAAGTTAATTACCTCGTGAATGAACGACATAGCTTCTTTATATTCTAATCGTAAAGTATTTTTCAGACTTTTCAGTGCAAATTTTTGTCCATAGAACTTAGCAGAATAAACATTTGCGGATCCTCCAACTCCAATAAGTTTAAGATCGCTAAACTGCGAGTAGTCGAACATTTTTACATTAAGCTCTTTCAACCCCTCTTCAATAAACTCTGTAACTTCTAATACTATTATATAAAATTCATAATGTTAATGCACTGTGTGAATGTATAAATTATGACATAGAAAAAGCTTACGTGTTTCCGATATTTGGATAACAGTTTGATTTGACTCATTACTATCGGACCTTTAAACAAATATATCAGATATTAATACGTGGAAATATGCCTGCATAAAAATAGTTAATTATGATATGTGAATTATGTTATGTGATTATAGCGGATAACCTGGATAACGTCAAATGCAGTATCAAATTTCAAACGTGATTGGTGAACAAAATTTTTAATCTGAAAATCTACAAAGTGCCAATCGCATGTTAACATTTTCTACAATTTGTTATATAAAAAAGCCTTAACAATAATCAAAATTTTTTTAAAAAAAAAGATCCTTTAAAAGTTGAACAATTAAAAAATAATTAACGTTTAAAAAAATTGAGAGTATAAAGGTTTTTCTATAGCAATAAAAGTTACAGCTGCATCCAGCACTATACCCTATAGAAAAATATTCGAATCATACGAAAGAACATACGAAATATATTTTGAAAGAGGGTGCAAGATTTGTACAAAGAATACCAAAGTCAAATGAAATTTTAAGACATTGCTTCGTCAGCATATCTTGGCACTAATTAAAATATTGGAAGGTTATTTACAGTAAATCATGCAATTTATATATATTAACAAGATATGGTATTAAACAATATTATGATCAAACATGCTTCTCCGCCATAACTAGTGTATTTATGTCACAAATACATTTATTCATAATGAAAAATACACACCATACATTTTTTCTCACTTTAAATGAATGCATGGTGAGTTTCTTTAAATGAATAGTTGAGAAATTTTCCATAGATAATTATTTTTTCATATTTTTATATACTATCGCGACACTTAAATTATGTAAAAAAACCCGCTGATCATTACTATGTACCAGAGTGTCCAGCTATTTCTAGCATCTAAAATAGCACTAGTGATATTACGACAACCACATAATCAAATTCAACTAGAATTGGTTACTTTAATTCTAAATGTTTATAGAATAAAAATAAGACAAATTTTACCGAATTTAGTTTGGTTGTTTTCATGATATCGCTAGTGCTATTTTAGATGCTAGAAATAGCTGGACACTCTACTATGTACTGTACTACTGGAATTACACGGCAAAACTAATTAATTTTTCTGATAACTAATTAATCTAGGATTAGATTACCTGATTACCTGCATGCAATAGCCGAATATATCACGGATTATCTGCGTAAGGGTAAGTAAGACATTGTACAGTATCATTGTAACATAAACCATAAATATCATAACCTACATTGTTATTAATAATGTTAAAATTATCAGTATGAAAATCTACATTGTTATTAATAATGTTAAAATTATCAGTATGAAATTGTAAAGGTTGCATCATATCATAATTATTTGATTGCATAAATGGTGTATTTCAAATGAAGAAATAACATTATGTGATGAATTATTAACAGTGTTGGTTCTTGATTAAATCTGATAATTCACAGCCAAAGTCAAATTGTCGAAAACTAATATCTGGTACGGTAAAAGCATTCGATGTAGACGGTGTATTTATAGAGGTCAAATTTGGTGATTGGTCATTAAAAGTATTATTAGCATTAAAACCTGAATCAGCTAGATAATAATGCGGAATTTAAGTTCGAAATATTGTTTGGTGCCGCGTTTAGATACATGTTAAAGGATATCAGAGGTAGAATTTATGTTATGTGAAAATGGTTCAAGGATAACGGGATTAGTATCTTTAGATTCGATATTTTATAATCTTTTATCTCCTCAAAGTTTATTGCATTATTCTTAAGACTTTTATTTTTACGTCTCCTCTCATTCTTATTTAAAGGAGGTGCTGATGGATTGAAACTACGATATTCCATCTATCTTTTCTTTTTTAAGATTAAATTAATAATATAATATTTAGGATAAAATAATAAAATAGTATGATAAGAAACATAAATTAGGACGGTCATGTAAAGGTCATGATAATACGTAAATTCTATAAAAGAAAAAAAATTCTTCCAAGCTATTTTTCATATAACTTGTTCTTACTCTAACATAAAAAGAACAGTATTAGTATTTTTTAACTCTGATTATTATACGTACTAAAATAAATTGGACAGTTTGTATAAAATTTTTTTTTTTAAGATCAAACTTACGCTAAGCATCTTAATCATCGTTTTATTTGATATTTACTGCTTATAAATATTGTAATAGTAATTAATGGTAATTAATAGTAGCGAATTTTTACATATTTCATCTAATAAGTATTACAAAACACGATACCTTCACTACACAATTTTCTCACCAAATCTTTAATTTTAACTTCTTGCTATTTTTCGCCGCCTAACTCATAATATTTTACAGGACTAGTCGTTTAACACTCTATACCTTTCTTATAAACTATAACTTGGAATAAAAACTTAAGAGCGTGGGATTCAGAGGGATTCAACGGATTGTTTTCGACGACAGAGTAATACAAGATGTTAAAAGTACTTTAAAATAAAAAAAATTTCTAAATGTCTGGGTCCTGTATAGTTAATACTTTTAAAATTGTTATAACCAGTGAATTTATCAGTTATACTGTAGTCGACCGCGTATAATCAATACGTCTTCGGGATCACAAATGCTAATACTTACTCTATGCAAATTAAATCGAACATACGGATATGAGTTGTTTGGACTTATAATCACTTATATTCACCTAATTTAATACAAGAAATTTTATGATTTTTGGCAAAACCAATCGTTTGACTATGCAAGAACGAGGCACGGACTAATATTTCTGAAACTAGAAAAACGGCGTCATTTTGTGGGCTGGAGCTCTAATTCTTAGGGTTTACACTTTAAAATAAATTTAAAATAGTATCTGCATTTTATAATTA